CGGATATACAAACACACGACCAGCTACTCGGCGTGCAGACGGAGGAGGGAAATGATCAGGAGGTTGATAGTCAACAGGTTTGGAAATCTGCCCTGCTCGCTCTACGGGATCGCGCTTACAATGTTGGTGTCCACGATTCATCGGAGACGGACGCAATTAGAGCTGCCTATGAGAAACAGTGGTCATCAGATGATGGGAAAGAGCGAAACGACGGTGAAGAGGGAAATACCGCCTCTACCATCGCTGTGATGTCCATACTCCCGCAGGTTGAGGTTTGCAGTGGAGCCACGACTCAGCCGGAATGTGGAGCGGAAGATGACGGAACCCCGATCGACCCAAGAGACCTTCGGTAGGTTTTTGTCTCGTGAACTGTTTTCACCTTTATTAGGAATGTGCAGATTTTATTTCATATAGGCCGCGGTGCGGAATGCACACCATCACGTAGGGAGATAGTATCTAACTTGCTTTCTTCACGGGGAGTTTTGCGAACTTTCAGTTATGTGTGCGTGTGCGTGTGTGTTGCAATCAAGTTGGCCTCCCACCTACGTACACCCCTTCCTCCCCCTCCGAACTAGAGCACTCTAAGCATAAGTTGGGAACTTTTTTGTTGTGGATGGGCACAATGTTGTCCCTCTTCCAAATAGAGAGCACGGGTATTAGCCTTCAGAGCGCACAGAACAAACATAAACAGCAGTTGCGTAAGTGGCCTTTGGCAGGAATGACTTCATGTAGTTTCGCGATTCGAGGTTGGACGCCTTAATTTGCCTCTCCGATAAACCGGTCTAAGATTATAATATGGTGTCAGCCAACGATGAATAGAGCCATATTTCGAGAGAAACAGGTCGTCAGGTCTTACCGTCTCGGCTTGGAATCTGATTTTCTACGCTGCCGATTTGACTGATCAGTGTCCGGTTAGACCTGGGAGTATTAACACCACGTGGCCTATGAGTACAGTAGTCGCTGGTTATTAAGCCCACAGTCAATAGGCCCAGCCGCGTATTAAGCCAAAATCAGCTTGGGACGGAATTTTACATAGCAAATCCGCCGGCTAATAAGCCCAGTCGCCGGCTACAAAGCCCAGTTTGCCAATGATATAGAGTGAGATTCTCATCTCTCTGCGTGCGCAACGCGGTCTACAGGCATCTCATAAAATTCGATGATTTCTGGTGCCTGGAGAAGGACATCGAAGAGCACTTGCGAGTGAAGTTGCCTCCAAAACAACTGACACTAGACCGCTT